CAAACTAAAGCTGTTAACAATCTCAATCTCTTCACCGTCTCTGATGATGCTGTCCATCAGCCCAGTGCTGAGACTCTTTGTTTTCTTGATGTTGAGCTTCAATCCATATTCAAAGCTGTAGTCCTTCACCTTCTGTAGCAAGCACTAGCAAGCGCTTCAGGTCCTCCTCAGTTCCAGCAAGCAGGATTCTGTTATCTGCATAACACAGGTTGTTACGAGTCTTCCTCCAATTCTGATGCCACAATCCTCATACAGTCCAGCCTCCTGGATGATCTGTTCTGCATATAGATTAAAAAAAGTATGGAGACAGTACTCATCCCTGGCACACGCCTTTCCCAATTTTGAACCATGCAGTGTTTCCTTGTTCTGTTATCATGACTGCCTCCTGGTCCAAATATAGGTTTTGCATAAGCACAGTTAAGCATTCTGGAATTCCCATTCTTGTCAGAGTCAGCCACAGCTTGTTTTGATCCAGTCCATTTAGACACTCAAAAAGTATTTCTTGAACTTCATCTTGTGCCTGACAGTATGTCACTTGGATTTGCTCTCCAAGTGATCCCTAGGCTCTTCCTCTTTATTAGGAATTTTTTTACTCATTTCCTCATGATGTTATTAAACAAAAATTCTCCTTTATAAAACAAACAATGGCATAAATACTACAGAAACACTGCCAAGCTAAAGTCATGTGGCTCAAATCCACTAGGTACTCCAAGGGAGAAAGACGGGCAGTCTTCTACTATGCAATTCACTGCCTCTGAAAACCTCCTGCAGGGTCTTCTCTGAGTCAATGTGACTCAATGGAACATAACACACACATAAGAAGATTAAAATATATAAAGACATTTAGAAAAATAAAATTCCTAACATCCTAAAAATGTAATCTGAGAATAAAAAAGAATACAAGTGTAATATACAATGGAATATTACTCAGAAAAATAAATTGATCACACACTGATAAATGGACGAAATTCAGAAACATTCTGCTAAATAGAATCAGCTAAAAATGACACATCGTATGTTATTTTCCTTTTATGAAATGCCCAGAAAAGATAAAACTATAGAATGTAAACTGGATTAGTGGTTATTTGACACATAGGGTGGGAAAAGGATTAGCAGTAAATGGGCACAAAGGATCTTAATGGGGTGAAAAAAAATATTTTAAAACTGATAACAATTGCAAAACTCAGTGAATTTACTTTGAGAATATTTGGCTGAATTTACTTTGAGAATATTTGGCATGTGTATATGAAATGAATTAATTATGTGATACATAAAATAAATCCCATCACATTTGTTGTTCTGACCCTCCCACTGGTTTTCCGAGGCAGTAAATCTCATGGACGGAGACTGTCAATCTCTCTTCTGTGAAGTAGCTGATGGATTCAAACTCCATGCCTCTGGGTTGGCCGTGCAAGTCCATACTACTAAGCCATCAGAGCTCCCTAAACCTAACTATACTCAATTAATGTTCTCTTCCTACTTTGTAATGTTCAGTGGTGCCAGAAACTGTCTTTGTGAACCAAAGGAAAGACAGAAACTACTCCCTAGGTTCAGTTTCCTGACTGTCACACATTAACTCTTCTGCTTTTTTTATCTCAATTTTTTAAATTATTAATTTCAATGAAAATTTACAGAGACTTTGGATTTCCATTCATTCATTGTTGCACTTTTCTCCCCTCCCAATCCTCTTCCCCAGTACACTATCCTCTTGGAAAAGTAAAAGAAAAATTCTTTCATTGTTTTACAATCCCTCCACTCAGGTCCACTCCACTATGCAGCCTTCACTCAGGACTCCCGTCATGACAAAAATACCTAATCACATAACCCTTTTAAACAATTTTCTCCCTCGTCTGTTTCAATGCAGTATACATTAATTATGAAACACATCTTTCTCCGTCTCCCCTCAACCCCCATGTCAGTCCTATTTTACAACAGTGGCACCAGGCAGTATTTGTCCTTTTGTGACTGAGATACTTCACTCAGCATAATGTCCTCCAGGGTGACCCATTTTGAATAATATAGCACGAGTTCCTTGTTTTTCAATGCAGTATAGTATTCCATTCTGTGAGTATACCACAGCTTCTCTATCCATTCATTTGTTGATGGGCACTTAGGTTGTTTCCAACTCCTTGCTATTGTGAACAAAGCTGCAATAAACATGGGTGTGCATAACTCTTCTGCTTTTTAAAGCTCATATCTGTGATGCACCCTGACCAAAGGAATAAGGCACAGCAGAAAGAACACTTGTCCTTTCGCAATTTCTGTAGATCACATTTCACGTTAGCAGTCAGAACTCCTTCCATAAATCTCCTTTAAGGTCATTCTCTTTACTTATCACCAAGAAAGGCTTGGCCAGGAACCGTGGATTCCCTTATTAAAGAATGGAACCAAGCATAAATAGGACTTAAATTTTTTTCTATAATTAAACAAATAAATTGGGAGAAGTGGAGGATAGTGACCAGGGCGGGCGGAAAATCAGACCAACAGAATGGAAACTGTGGGAACATGGCTCTTTCTCGTATTAACCTCCATCAACTGACTTCACCGGGGCTAGATGCTTAGATGATACAGATTTGTTTTCAGAATACCATTCTTAACTATCAGCTCTGAATTAAACTCACCAGTGGAGATGTGTTCTGTCCACTCTGGTTGTGTTTCATCCTCAGTTCTGTGTATAGGTACCAGATGTAATTGACCGTGTAGAGAAATGAGGAAATGTAAAATATCTAGGAGAAATAAAGACAATCCATTATCACTGTCCTAAATTGACTTCTTTCAACTTATTCCACTATCTTTCACTATGAGAATTTTACCCCATCTCGTTAAAACATGTTTGCGCTTCCTTGTGATTGACTGTTCAGAGTAAGCAGCCATATTCACCATCTTTCAAACCAAAAGTTAAACTTTAATAAGGATATCATAGGAAATATTTCATATTATTTTTAATTGAAAAATGTTTTTGATTAATTACATTTTATTTGAATAAAGGCTTCTACCTATAGTAATGATAGCTCATGCTGTTTGAACCAACTTTTCCATTAAAAACAAAACAAAAAAAAACAACTAAACATCCAGGCATCTAGAATATGGTCAAGATGGTACCTGGCTGAGGATATTGTCAATAAACATTTCTATTTTTCTTCTTCTTATTTTTAAATTGTGATTTTAATGCAAGTTCTCCCTCTCCCCCATTCTCCTAGTCTACTTCGCAATGCACCTCTTATTCTGGACTCTCGTCATACAAATAATAATGCCTAATCATATATCCCTTTTAAATAGTTCTTGTCTTCATCTCTTACAAAGTAGTGTTCATTATCTATCCCCTCTTTTCCTAGTTTCCTCCCAATCCCCCATGTCACTCCTGTTTTATAACAGTGATGTTATGCAGTACTCTTCCTTTTATGTCTGAGATATTTCACTCAGCAGAAATATTTCTTAAGGGAGCTCTAGTCGTATAGTTGACAGAAAAATACACTAACCCAAAAGCCACCCTGTTCTGGTGGTTTGAGTTCATCAGCAGTTTTTTGGGGAAAAGATCTCATGTGTGATTTAAGCCTCCAGAACTCACAGGATGAGTTGGTCCCAACTCAAAGGCAGTAAGTGAGGGAGAGAAGTTGTTTGTGGTGATGACTATAAAAACAACCAACAAACAAAAAGAACTTAAACATGGTATGTAAAATACTTTTAAAAATCCTTAAAAGTCATAACAACAACAACAATGAATAGGCTGGTGGAGTTTGCTATGTGTTATGCTGCCAACTGAAAGTTTAGTAGTTCAAATCCATCAGCCACTCCATGGGAGCAAGAAGGGCAGTCTCCAACCAGAAAGATTCACAGCTTATAAAACTAATGGCATTACACTCAACTGGACAGCGGAGGGATTTGAATTATGTTTGGTGTTTGGTTTTGATTGTGTTGTAGATGTTTTTGGTAGGGATGAAAGAAGACTTTCCTAAGGAAGAGTAACATTAGCACTGAATTCAAGACTCCTTACTATGAGCGGATTCTCACAGCAATCCTACAGGAGAGAGTAGAGCAACCCTAAAATGTTTTGAAAGTTGAGATCTTCCTTTAAGCACACTGCCACATCTTTCTCCTGCAGGATGCTGATCTTTAGAACAGCCTGCCCTTCCTTCAGCAGTCAAGCACTTCATCTTCAGGAATCCTCTCTCCTATTGTCTGAACCAATCCATAGCTGACGCTCCACTGGGTTTTCAGAGGCAGTAAATCGCACTCGTGGAGATTTCCCATCTTTCTCCTGCAGAAGAATTGGTGGATTCCAACCAACCATTTGTCTTTGGACTGGCAGCACAATTCTCTGCTGACCATGCCACAAGATCTGACAAGAGAATTTTTAAATTTAAGTACAAGTTTTACTGTAAGGTTAAATTGAAGGAAAGCTTTGCGTGCTCATGTGGACTTAAATGTTAATGCAGACAGAAAGGATTTTTTTTTTTTAAGTTCAACAGTGAATTAAGGATAAGTGAGAGAAAATAACCAGAGGTAACACAAGTTGCTGTCATAATTATTAGAAGGCCTGAGGCTTTCATAATGAAGAAAAGAAAAAAACACAACCATCCCAAACCAAATAAGCTATTGTATCTCCTTAGTTGACAAAAGCAATACATTTCTCTACTATTCAACATTCTATATCACTGCCTCGCTATACAACTGAAAACGCAAAAGGTCAGTTGCTTATGGTTTTGTGTAACTTTCCCCTTTCACATATTCCCTTCAAGCTTTTTCTATCATTGCTGATTTTGTGAAAAGCTTTTGTTTCTGATTATTTTATAACACATCAACAAAATGGCATTTACATATTTGATTGACTTATTTAAAATTTTTTTATATTGGTTTGTTTACAAAATTAGTATATATTAAAAAATAGTATATAAAAAATCCTTAAAAGTATCAAATATTTGGTAAACTAGCAAGAAATTAGTAGGACAGTATGTAGAGGAAGGCATTTTTGCTCCCAGCTTTGATGAAATTGGAGGACACTAGAATCTACCTTCCAGCCTTAAACAACTAAAACTGGATAAAGCAGGAAAAACAAATAGTTTTAAAACACTAGACATCAAGCAATAGAAATCTCTGAAAGGAAACACACAGGATGAGTCAAATAAGCACTTCAGTTCACAGGCAGAGAAAGGAAGTACAGGGCAGCATCTGTTAGTTGAAATATGTCAATTGGTATACCATCTATTCCTGGAGCCTTATTTTTTGCCATTTCCTTCAAAGCAGCCTGAACTTCTTCTTTCATCACCATAGGCTCTTGCTCATATATTGTTTCATGAAATTCTTCTGTGTCTGCCAATTCCTTTCGATACAGTGATTCAGTATATTCCTTCCATGTTCTTTTAATACTTCCTGGATCATTTAACATTCTGCTGAAAGCATCCTTGATTATGGCAAGTCAAGGTTTGAATTTGTTCTTCAGTTCCTTGAGTTTAAGAAATGCTGAGCGAGTTCTGCTCTTTTGATTTTCTGACTCCAACTCCTTGCACATTTCAATGTAATATTTTGCTTTGTCATCTGTGCTGCCTTTTGAAATCTTCTATTCAACTCTTTAGTATCTTGACTTCTTCCTTGTGCTTTGGCTTCTCTGCGCTCCAGTGCAATTTTCAGAGTCTCTTCTGACATCCATTTTGGTCTTCACTTAGAGATTAAAAAAAAGTCTGAAGGGAGCTCTAGTGGCCTAGTGGCAAGAAGCTGCACTGCAATCCCAGAGGTACGTAGTTCGAATCCACCAGATGCTCTGCTGGAGAAGGAGAGGCAATCTCCTCCTGTACCAGTCAGATCTAATTTGATGGCACACACACACACACACACACACACAGACACACACACACACCACCAACAACAAAAAAGTCTGGCAGGTCTTTAAAAAGTTGAATATACACAAAAGTTGAATTCATAATTATTATACTATTTAACAATTACAGTACATACAGGTGGATACATGAAAGAATTAAAACCAGGAACTCTGAAAAGTGAGCAAATTCTAGACTAGACATACAAGAAAATATTCAATCTTAAAAAGGAATAAAGTACTGAAGTGTGACATTTGGATGAACGTCAAAAACATACTCCGTGAAAGCAGATAGACACAAAGAATGGCACTCAGAAAACTACAACCTTAATCCATTAACCAGACTGAAATGAATTCTGACTGGAATTATTTGTTCTCAAGCACACTTTGTTTCTCATGTAAATTCCAGATTATATCTTGGCAAATGATTGATTTCTTCTGTTCCAGTTCAGTGATGTGGTAGAAGGCTGCTCCACATATACTGAGCCAATTCTCCCGCCTCTCCTGTTTCTGTAAAACTCTTCACACTATTTGTATCGGGCAGAAACTCAACAACTACAAGTAATATGATAAAAGTATAAATAAAACATAAACAAGAATGTTCTAATCTATACCTCTCACCTACTCCAGCAGAGGAAGAAAAACTTGAAACAAATAAATTAATGTATATTTCAGCATTTTACATTAAAAGAAGCATTTGAAAGACAAGGACTGCTGTGCTGCTGACCCAAAGGCACAAGGCTTGAGTCTCCTAGCTGCTCCACAGGAGAAACATGAGTAGTCTCCTCCCACACAATTTACTGCCTCTGAAAACCTGCTATCGGTCAGTTTCAACTTTACAGCTCATAACGACAACACAACATTCAGAAGGTGGTGTTGATCTGCACTAAAATAGTCACTGAACCAACCAATAGTAAGAAAAAAGCAGGCAATATAATGAAATTTTCATATGGCTAAATTTAGAAGCTTAAGGAATCATCTTTATTCTAAGATTATAGTCTAGCTAGTGTTTTGTTACTGAATTTTATTTCTTTTATGAAATTGTTGCTGCTGTTGTTAGGAGGCACTGAGATGATTCACAGCAACTTTCTGAACTACAGGCTGATCCTGTACACCCTCTCTGTCCTTGATGGGCTCCAGCCCACTGTCACACTGTGTGTCTATCCACCTCCATGAAGGTCTTCCTCTCATTCTCTCAGCTTCCATCTTTTGCAGAATGACATCTTGTTCCAGTAGGTAGGCCCTGCTGACAACATGCCCAAAGTATGTGAAATGAAGTTTTACCATCCTTGCCTCTAAGGAGCATCCTGGTTGCACTTCTGCCCAGACAGACTTGTATGTTCTTCCTTCAATCCACGGGAAATTCAGGACTTTTCTCTAATGCACCAATTCAAAGGCACCAATTCTTCTGTCATTTTTATTCATTGCCCAACTTTCAAATGTGTATGAAGTAATTGAAAATACCAATGGCTTCGCCTCTTTGTTAACATTTACCGTAAGAATGAAGAACATTCTGGGCAACCAGACTGTCGACATTCCAGAAAATATCAACATTCCTCTAAAGGGCTGCACAGTTATCGTGAAAGGCCCGAGGGGAACCCTGTAGATGAACTGCAATCATGTTCACTGAAGGCTCAGTCTTCTTAGAAAGAAAAAGAAGAGACTTCCCACTGAGAAAAGGTAGGGACATAAAAAAGGAACTGGCTATGGCTGGTATGATTACAGTCACCTACAGACCATGATCATGGATGTCACACTGGGCTTCAGTTATGAGATAAGGTTGGTGTATGCTCATTTCCCCACTGATGTCTAATTCAGGAGAGCAAGTCTCTGGTTTTAATTCGAGACTTCTTACGTGAAAAATACATTTGGAGGGTTCAAATGAGGTCAGGTGTTGCTTGTTCAGTATCACAA